CCCCAAAACCCCAAAACCCCAAAACCCCAAAACCCCAAAACCCCAATTTTGGAGAATTTATTTAAATTCAAAAAGAAATATAATAAGAAATGGAAGAACTGCAACGAATTTATAGTACAGATCCTGAAACGACCAGCATCTCATTATCAAATTTCCAAATAAATGATTTGGGTGAATTGTTGCCTCTATTATCTCAGTTCAAGCACATGAAGGCATTGGACTTATCGAATAATTCAATTGATGAATTTCCTCAGAACCTGAGTAGCCTATCTAGTTTAGAAGCACTGAACATCAATGGAAATCTTCTGAAAGATACTTATTTTACGATAGAGTGCTTAGCATCATTGCCCAAGTTGATCTCACTGAATATAAACCTCAATGAAGAGGAGCAAGTAGATTATATCATGAATAAGCTTCCTGAACTACAAATTCTGAACGATCTCCAAGTTGAAAGAGATGAAGAAGAGGAAGAAGAGGAGGAAGATGATGATAATGAGAGAGTACTCATTCAGAATGAAGTTTCCCAATCTCAACAGCCTCCTCTTGAGGAAATGGATAATCATATAAATTCCATTGAACCTCTTGAAATCCCTCAACCAGGAGTAGGACCTCAACAGACACATAATGAAAGCGAGAATATAGAAGAAAACGATAGTTTTGGGTAAGGTTTCTATGCTAATATCTTTAGCTCCTCTCCACAAAAAGATGATGATAAATCAAATATCCCTCTTGCTGAGCTTGAGAAAGTAGCTATACTGTACGATTCTATCAGAGATTTGCATAAGAGAAAGAACCCAAGCAAAGATCAAGAACTAGCAAGAGACTTTGATCATCATTTGCAAAGAGTTATGAAGAACTTATACCAATCTGTAAAGAACTCCAATGTGCCTGAAACTATTAAGAAAGTCAATGGTTTCAAAGCTAAATATGACCTCTACGATATCTGATTGACTAAGCTCAATCAGTTGATGGAGGAGAACCAACAAGAACAAAGCTCAATCCTTCGAGAGATTCATTCCGGTGTTCATAGCATTGTTTCTGGATTCTACGATCACTTTATGATTGAAGAATCTAACCATATCACATTAGGATCAAGCAATTATCTTGGGAGCCGCATGCAAATTGATGAAGATGACAAGGACAAATATGGTAAATTCTATAACTCCTTTATAAGTTTGAAATTCTAACCTTTGTGTTGATAATTCAAGCTAACTTCATATATAGACAAAATGCAACAAGAAATCGACAGACTCAATAAAGTTAACCAAGAAATGAGAGCTGATTTTAATAAAGAAAAAGAAGAAATGAAATCAAATATTGACGGTTTGGAGAAAGAAAATAAAGTAATTCTGTCTATGCTGATCAAGCATTCTAAAGGAGAACAGACAGGAGCTAATCTTCTCAAGTCTCAGTTACCTCATACAAGCAATGCTAGGGATGAAACAGGGGTTCCTCCAGCCTTCCAAGAAAGAACAACAGCTAGAGGTTTCCAAGAATCTCCTCCAAAAATTCCAAAAACAAAAGAATTTACTTATTCCAAATACGGAGCTGGCAGCAAGAAGAAAACTCCAGCTGGGCCTCCTGCTGGAAAGAGGAATTACAGAGGGGTTGGAGGCAACGTAGGGCAAACCCAAATGCGAAACCTGTCACTCAAGCAACTCAACGACCTCATCAATGATATCTACGAAAAGAAGCTCAAATATGATCAGAAATGTGAGGAAGATAAGCTTCCTAGAGAAACAATGGAGCAGTACATGTACACTTACTTGAATCAAAGATATGGCCTCAAAAGTTTGATTATTGAATGGGCTGCCTCCATCATCAATGGAATCAAAAAATATTCCAAAGAAGACCATTCGATCAGCCTCTATGGAAAGATCCTTAGGAATGAATGTGATGAAGAGTTCAGATTCATCCAGAAGCATGTTAGAGAGACCCTTGATATCTCTTTAAGACAGATACTTAAGGATAGGTTCCCAAATAAATCAGAGCAAGGAGTTCAAGAGTTATTCGACCAAATTACCAAAGGTTTTATTGACGATTATTACTGGGCTAGAATCATAGAAAGAATGTATGATGAGCAAGACTGATACACTCTTGAAGAAATGTTCAGGACCGTAATCCAAAACAGACAACAAAGAAGATACTCTGCCAAAGAGACTAGAAGTAAATAAGAGGAAAATGACAAGAGAAGAACGTCTCGCTCTCGTGTCTCAGAAGGACTCTGATAAACTAATGTTCAGCGAATTTACTAAGGCAGTGCTTGACTTCCAACTAAGAGAGCATGAGAAGTTCCTCTACAAGTTCATTGTAATATTCAAGCAAATAGATACTGACAATAATGGAGTAATTAACGAGGATGAATTTGTTGACCTTGTCAAAAGAATGAGAGTTTGAGAGGAAAATGAAGAAGATATTAACAAGTTCTTAGAAATTGTAGACCCTTACAACAACCAAGAAATAACATTTTCAGAAATAGTCCACCTGTTCTCTGCTCATATGGTGAGTGCTAACGATCCTCTTGACCCTGATAAGGAGATACCAATCCTTGAAAAGTTTGCTAAAGCAGAAAGTTATGGAGAAAATTAGACAGTCGAAATAAATATTTCAATTTAGTTCGTCAAATACGGGGTTTTGGGGTTTTGGGGTTTTGGGGTTTTGGGGTTTTGGGGTTTTGGGG